GGATGCCCCCCCCCTCCCTCTCTCTCTCCCCGCAGGTAATCCCCCAGCGTCAATGCAACTCGTGTTTCGTAAAACAGCCTACGGAGTAAAAATCGAACAAGGCCACCAACATGCATACATACATCTCTGTTTTGATCAGGCGGGGCATGAAATTTTTAATTGTTTTTTTTTTCTTTTTTATCTCTTTAAGCTCGGGTTTCAAAAGCCAAGGACGTGCATAAAAATTGCCAATTCCGGAATAATTCTCTATAATATTGATTGGCACTGCTCTCATATATTCCTACTAGTGAGCTTTCCCCAGTTTGCTTTTGCCCGGTGTTGGCTTGCTCGAGTCAGAACTCAGCTTTCAAAACTCCGTAAATTTGATATGCCCAAATATGTATGCGCAAGTTATTCCCTAAGCCGAGAGCCCAACCTTGTTTGCCCCCCCTCCCCTCCATGAAAGGTGGCAACATGGTTTTGCCGCCTGTGTAGCCGCTGCGCCAACGGAAGCTGAAACTTGTAAACTTGCCCTGCCTTGCAGACCCTGTCCATGTCCCATGCCTCCTCCCCCTAGTTATTATATCACCACTTATCGCGCTCACGGAGCCGCCGGTGACAACTCGGCCTGTAATTTGCACCGCATAATCAACGAGCCCAGATGAGATCGTGATCCAAGACTCTCGATATGTTTTGTTTTTCTCTCTCTCTCTCGCCTTGCCGCCTTGCCTGGCGCGCTTCCTCTGGGCGGTGTAGCTAGCCTGGGGCAGACAATTTAGAACGTCATGCTCATTAAACAAAAAGGCCACTTTATACGTCAAATCGGCAACTGTCAATGTGCACCATGCACCATGCATCCACACACCCTCCCCCTCGAGACTTCTTTTTTTTTTTGTATTACCAGTAACAAAGGTCAGCATTGTGGTGCTACCCACGAGTTCCGGCGCATCGCCGGATGCTGTGCGAGGTACCCTGAAGCCTTGTCCCCCTAGATGAAGGCTCGAGTATGCCAGAGATTTGCGTAACCGGCCAGTTCAGACCGGTGGCCTTTTTTTCTTCCTAATCTCTCTTCTTGACTTTTACTCTTCTTTTTCAAGTTCTCTTTTAGAATAATGATAAAGCAGTCTCCGGTCATGCGCATGGTTTCTGCAAGGGAATATGACGTTGCATCACCTGGCCAGCCAGCATCGCGGGTGGTCGCTTCTCCTGCAGCCAAGTTCGTCCGTCGCCAACACCCGCCAATCAGCTGCCGCCCTTCTCAACCATCAAATGAAGTCCCCAGACACGCAACAGAGATCACAAGGGGGGTCTGGCCTCATCACCGTGCATTAGCTTTTTTTTTTCTTTCATCCCGTCCAAGTCCGTATACAGGGTTCATTTTAAAATGAACATTCTCTCTTTTTTTTCTTGGTGCCCAACTCCTTTCTTTTCCTTGAAAGGGGAGGGGGCATATACGGAGTCCGGGACGAGAGAAGGGTAAGCTCAGGCCAAAACGATCCTGGCCACTAGTTACGACCTTTGTTTCCCTTTGTGAAGCGGCCCCTTACTCACTAAATCGAAATTGAATCGTTTCGATGAAAGGCATTGCTTTCTTAATCAAATGATGCGGCACAAAGAAGACCATAAACAAGCCTTTGTCGTCTTCCGTCGCGGTCGGTGCACTTGTACGCCCGGCCGAAAACGAAATTCCTCCCTTGCCAACCTTCGCCCTGCATTTCTGCATCTCCAATTTTGCTCCAACGTCACCTCACTGAGCATGACCATCTCGTCTTGGCAGATGTGACTTTGCCTCCATCCAGAGAACTGGAGGAGACCGTCACGCCACAACCCGAGGCCGCGCCATCCCCTTGTTCTTGTAAACGGGCCATCTCGTGGCGTCGCCAACACGTACATCTCCCGCCAGGTCACGCACCGTTCCCAAAGTCGTTCTATTTCGGGGTCCTTCATTCCACGTCTCTTGCTCCATGGTTCAACCATGCTTTTTGACCGGCATCAATCGTTAGGTAGACGTGAACTGAGCTCTTTACTGGGAATGCAATCTGAGACGGACATGTACCAACGCCACATGATTTTTTTGATTTCCAAGGGAGATTTTGAAGAAATTGACAATTAAAACCGTAGTCACACTATTGATGCTAATCCCGCCTCTTTCCACACTCTCAGCGAGAAATATACCCTCCATACATACACTACAAAGTAAAACAGAGTAAAAATTAGGTCAAACGAAGGCGTCTGTTATCCATTCGCTTGCGAACCTCGCCTCCTAATCCAGCACTTTTCCAACAGTCGATCCAGATGACTCCTTGGTCTGCGTCTTCTTCAACTTCAAGCCGCCTTGAATTTGACCCAGGAACCCAGCTGGTGGTCCAGCAGGCGTTGCCGCCGCACCAGGTGCGCCGCCAGGAGGCGGGGGAGGCGGCGGTGCACCAGCAGCAGGAGGCGGCGGCGGTGGTGGTGCACCACCAGCCGGAGGGGGAGGAGGGGGAGG